GTTACCTCTCCCGGCCTGTGGCCCCACAGTGTCCCCCCCGTGTCCCCTCCCCATGTCCCCCCTCCGGATCCCTCCGTGTCCCACTCTTCCCCCCCACCCCGTGTCCTCCTCACCCCGTGAGCCCCTTGTGTCCCCCCCGTTGTCCCTCCGTGTGTCCCCCGTGTGTCCCCCGCCCCTGCCAAGGAATTTTCTCCATCAACACGATGAGTTCATTGGGGGGGAGGGAGGGGCGTTGGGGGGCCCAGCTGGGGGAGAACAGGAGGAGGGTAGGGAGGGGGAGGGGCCCCATTGTGGGGGGAGGAAAGGGGGTCCCGGCTCCACCCCCACTCCAGTCGCAGTTGTCAATTGATCCACTGATTTATCAATTCACTGATTTACTGATTCGCTGATTTATTGATCAAGTTCACACGTGGGTCGCTGTGTGTCACCAATGTCCCCATCCCTGTCCCTGCTGTCCCCATCCCTGTCCCCAGTGTCCCCATCCCACCTCGGTGGCACCATCCCTGTCCCTGGTGGCCCCATCCCTAATCCCACTGTCCCTATGCCACCTCAGTGTCCCCAACCTATCTGCAGTGACTCCAGTGTCCCCATCCTTGCCCCTGATGTCCCCATGCCCGGTGTCACTACCCCCAGTGTTCCCATCCCTTATCCGTGCCCCTGTTCCACCTCAGTGTCCCCCACCCCTACTTGTCCCCAGCGTCCCCATCCCCGGTGTCCTTATCCCTGGTGTCTCCGGTGTCCCTGGTGTCCCTAGAGTCCCGCTCCCCGTCCCCGGTGTCCCCAGAGTCCCCGTCCCCGGTGTCCCCGCTGTCCCCTGCAGTGTCCCAGGGGGGTGTCCCCAGCTCCCCGGGCCCCCCCAGCTCCCGCAGCCGCCCCCCCTCCAGCAGGGCCACCCTGGGTGCCCGCCGGGCCAGGGCCACCTGTCCTGTCACCAACAGCACCGCCGGCCCCTCCCCCGCCCCGGGACCACCGGGGCGCAGCAGCTCCTGCTCCACCTGCGGGGACACGGCGGGTCAGGGGACACGGGGGCGACACGGGGGACACGGGGGGTGAGGGGACATGGGGGGAGCTCAGGGGCAGTGGGGGGACCCCGGGGTGGGGGGAGACATGGCAGTGTCAGGGGACCCCCGAGTGGGGGGACACTGGGGGGACACAGGTGGGGATCTGGAGAGTGGGGACCCAAGGGACAGGGCGACACAGAGGTCCAGGGGACATGGGAGACCCAGGGGACAGGGGGACATGGGGACCCAGGAGACAGGGGGACAACAGCGATCCAGGGGGACATTGGGGACCCAGGGGACACTGGGATTGGGGTCATGGGGACATGGGAGTCACAGTGGTGGGCAGGGACCCAGGGGATGTGGGGACACTTGGACACAGGAGACCTGGGGACATGGAAGGGAAAAGGTGGCCCATGGGGACCCAGGGGACACGGGGAGTGGGGAGGACATGGGGGACATGGGAACCCAGGAGTTGTGGGGACACAGGAACCGTGGGGGATGTGGAGACCCGGGGCATGTGGGGACATGGCATCCAAGGGACACGGGACACATAGGACGCTGGCGTTTGGGACCCGGGGGACATGGGGGACATGGAGGGGACTTGGGGACATGGGGGGGCAGGGATGCAGGGGATGTGGTGACCCAGGGGACCCCCGGGGGACGTGAGGGGCAGTGACCAAGGGGACACGGGGACCCAGGGGACATGGGGGATGGAGACTCAGGGGACATGGGGGATGGGGACCCAGGGGACACGGGGACAGCGCTGTGACCCACCTTGCTCCGGGTCACGGGGTCGAGCGCCCGCGTGGGCTCGTCCAGCACCAGCAGGCGGGGGGTCCTGAGCAGGGCCCGGGCCAGCGCCACCCCCTGCGCCTGCCCCCCCGAGAGCTTCATCCCCCGCGGGCCCACCTCTAGGGACAGAGGGGACACACTGGGGACACCGTGGGGACACACTGGGGACACGCTGGGGAGCTGCACCCACCCTGCACCCACCTCTGGGGGCACCGTGGGGACACGCTGGGGACACGTTGGGGAGCCACACCCACCCTGCACCCACCTTTGGGGACAGGGAGGGGGCAGCGAGGAAACAGCGAGGGGACAGTGTGGGGACAGTGTGGGGACAGTGTGGGGATGATGAGGGGACACTACAGGGATGATGAGGGGACGTTCTGGGGACACACTGGGGACACTACGGGGATGGTGAGGGGACACCATGGGGACAGGAACGGAGCGGGGAGGGGACAGAGCAGGACGTGGTGAGGAGGCTTTCGGGACGTCACAGGGACAACCTTGGGGACGGTGAGAGGACATTACGGGGACACCCTGGGCACACCCTGGGGACACCACAGGGACGTGGCAGAGACAGCGGGGGGGACACCCTTGCCTTACCCGTGTCGTAGCCATGTGGCAGCCGCGTGGCCCAGGCGTGCACCCCCACCCGCTGCGCCGCTGCCATCACTCGTGTCACTTGTGTCACCTGCGTCCCCTCCCCGTGTCCCCAGCCCAGCGTGATGTTGGCACGGAGGGAGCGGGACAGGAGGGATGGGGACTGTGGGACACCAGCCACCTGCGGGGACAGGGGACACCAGGGGCTGCGGGGAGGGCATGGGGACAGGGGGAACATTGGGATGGGGGGGACACGGTGGCAGGAACAAGGAGGGAACATCTAGGGACACGGGGGGGGGGGGCACGGGGACCT